TCAACCAGTGATTGCTCTCAAACTGCAAAGGGAGCTTAGCTTCCCCTAAAATGTCAAAAAATAAGTGATCAAATACAGTATACGTGTGGACAGACAATTGTGTGTACATGTTATTGACTAAATATGCGCAACAACGCGCTCAACTTTTGTTCCAAATCAGCTTCTTATTACTGGTTACGACGTGACAAATTCAGTTACAGAATTCTACACTCATGTACATATTTATAATGTCCATATACATACACACACACATACACAGATTTACAAATTTATTTATATATACATATATACACATATACCGGTATGTGAAAAAAATCCTCGTCTCACCCCTCGGGTGGTGTCCGTCCCTCATTCAGCTCAGGTCCTCTACCAGAGGCCAGGAAGCTTGAGGGTTTTTGTGTGCAGCGATGACTGTTTGAAAGTGCTCCATAAATACAGTTGAGTTGAGTTGAGGGTTCTGCGCAGTATCCTGGCTGTTCCCAGCACTGCGCTTTTCTGGACTGAGATGTCCGATGTTGTTCCCGGGATCTGTTGCAACCACTCATCTAGTTGGGGGGTCACTGCCCCGAGTGCTCCGACCACCACAGGCACGACTGTCACCTTTACCTTCCAGGCTCTCTCCAGCTCCTCTCTGAGCCCTTGGTATTTCTCGGGTTTCTCGTGTTCCTTCTTTCTGATGTTTCCATCACTTGGGACCGCTACATCCACTACAACGGCTTTCTTCTGCCCTTTATCCATGATCACGATATATGGTTTTAATCACAAATCTTGTCAAAAACTGACTGACTTAGACAAAAACGGGAAACTGCAACCTACCAATATAAAACAATTGAAAGAATTTCAACAGAATAAATCCCCCCCCCCCCCAACAGTGCCATTTGCTGGAGCTGATGGAACACGGTCACAACTGCCCTAAATGCAAATTCTCAACTGCAACTTTGTCTGGGTAGCGTGAGGAACTTCCCAGCTCAGCAAAACATTTTCACACCGCGTGCCGCTTCGCATGCACGTCGACACGCAGAGCATGCTGAGGTTTGAATACGTGGCCGAGGGAGGGAGCGAGCGAGCGGCGTCCACTGTAAGTGCCACGAGAGCTCTTCAGCAGTCAGCTCAGACGCCTCAGCTAGTGTCATCTGACTTGTATTGAATGGCTATGTGATTCACTGACCTTCTGGCTGCCTCATGCCTTGCTAATGTAATCTGCTGCTACTGCTGCTGCTCATGCTGGCTCATGGCTCTCTCAATCGAGTGGTTTTTGTTTTTTGTTTTTTTGTTTTTTTTTTTTGCTTCACCAAAGTGTAAGCACAATCACAGGCACACGCTCTTGCTGATCTTTTGATAACAATTGGTTAAGCTAGCTAGATGTAAAAATGCAGCACAGCTTCGAATATCTACAGTATATATTAATAGCATGTTCAAAAAAGGAGTAAACTTGTTTCATTCTTCACTGATTTTGCAACGTACTCCAGGTCCTGGCCACAGATTTTTTTCACGCATTGATTTGTTCAAATTTGACACGCATAGTAGCTCCTCGTCAGTGCAGTAGATAGGACCAAGGTGGGGTGAAGCACTCCGGTGTCTCGAGCTTGTCAGTCAGCAACAGCTGGGTGTGACATCGGCTCCATGGTGGGCATTGCTAAGTGTCCAGTTTAATAAAGTACATTTCCAGATATAAGAAATGAAAAATAATGACCTAAAGGACAGCTTAAACATTTTATTCAAGAAAAAGTTAACTAAAGATAGTGAAGCTGGAGACAAAAGCTGTTGTGGGATTCGTTGTTTCTTAGTATGCAAGATGGTGTCGTTAAAAAAAGAACTTAAGGGAAAATGGGAATAGAATGCATGTGACATTTTTTTTTTCCTGACTAAACATACAGATAGACTCTCTCTCTCTGTCTCTCTCTGTCTGTCTCGTGCTCACGCACATTTAGATGAATTCAGCGTGGCCGTGGTAGATTTACATTTGGAATAAAAATGCATATAAACACCTAAGCAGTGTGGATTTTGTATGCATGGTTGCGCTTCCCTTAGCTGTGGCCACGGTTGCTAGGCTACCAGTCATTCCAGTTGTTGGAGGGGACCTGACATTAGGGAGAGCAAATTGACCACAGGAGGCTTTAATCTGCCATGAAACAGCAGCTGGCGCACACACACACACACACACACACACACACACGCACACACACGCACACACGCGCACACACATGCCATTTGAACTTTATTTCAACATTTATTCTTCACACATTATTTCATACATTTGGCCCAGCCGTGTGACTGTCATTGTAGTCACTGGCCAATTGTGGACTCATTCCCGGCCTGATTACATTCCTTTTGTACATGTGGACATGCGTGCTTGCGCACATTGAATCATCTTTTTCCATAGGCAGTAAAAAGAAACCTTGGATTGCACAGAGATCAATAAATGATTAAAACAAATATCACTGAATGTACAATGAGTAACTTTTCACAAATATAAATACAAAATGCGTGTTCAGTTTAAAAAAAAAATCCAAATGACAATCATGCAACGATTACTTCAGCTCATTGAGCTTTTAAAGAATTGACTCCATAACGTTTTTTTTTTTATTCATTTAAAATATAAAAGAAGTGCTCCCCTCAAATTGTCCTTTGGCATACAGGCAGTCCAGAATGTTATTGAAGTGAGGAGTGAAGTTGTTTGTCGATAAGCCAGGAAGATGACTGAAGTCCCCATTAACCAGTACGAGGGCTTGCATGAAGTCACTTCGTTCATCCGAGTAGCACACATAGAGAATCAACATTCAAATACCCTGTCCCATTTTTCCTTTCTCTATATTCACTTACTTTATTTTACCGCTCCATCATAGCATTTCTGGGACATATTCTTTGAAGCCCCTGATTTTATGAGCATAGACAAACGGCGACGGTCTAACAGCGCCGATGTTCTGCGCTAAATAACTGGTCACAGTTAAAACACTCTATTAGTGCTAATGGTTTAGCGCCTAACAAAAAGAATAAGAGGGTGGAAAGTTGAAAATAAGGAGACAACAGAGTTGCAAACTGGCTGTCTATTCACAAGTGCGCATAACAAGTACCGGTCTTGTAAATATATTCAAAATATTGTCATTCATTCAATGCAGTTCCTGATGTTTCATAGTGCCTGACTTCCACCATTTACAATTTCCCCACAAAAGTGCGTCCACTGCTCACATTTATGTAAATAATTTATGGGTCTTTTCATGGGGGCAAAACAGAAGAAATGGCACTCCGCTTCAATCTGAGGTGTTCTCGCAAGCGAAAGTGTTTCAGCTTTGGACAGTTTCACGAAGTTGTTTGTTCACTTTTGTTGCCGGCAGTTTTGACATTAATGGCTGTGTGTTTTTGAAAAGCTTGAAAATGTACCGTTATACAAGCTGGACTACATTGTCGCCAAATGTCATCTCTTTAGTGTTGTCCAATGAAAAGAAATATCGAAATATTGACCCAAAAAATGTCGCTTGGACATACTTTTGTGACACTCATCATTTTGAAAGCAACAAACGCTGCACTATAGTCAAGCTTATTTGAGCATCAGAAAAATGTGTGTGTACATACGGTATTGTAGTTTCTGAGCACCCCCCAGATTCACATGTCACTTAAATCACCGGTCCCCAACCTTTTGTGCCCCACGGACCGGTTTAATGTCAGACAATATTTTATTTTCAGGGACCGGCCTTTAAGGTGTGACGGATAAATACAACAAGATAATATGGTATGACCTGCATGAAAACTGTGGTATTTTTGTAACGTAATAATAGACATGAATCATGACACGGGGAACGTCCTGTCTGGCTGCAACACTCTCTGGCTGTTATGGTAATGTTTTAGCGTGCCTTCAAAATAAAATACACCGCAAATACAAAGTGCATGAAAAATACGACTCACCAACGCCGCCTATTATGCAGAGTGGGCTTGATGCGTGGGAATCTCCCGTTGAGATAAATCCGTATTTTAAGTAGGACTCCTGATACTATTAAATGGAGCCTTTTTCTTGAAAGTCGTAGGCTTCTCTTCTGTCTCCTGGCTGGGCCTTTTCCCCTTCCCAAAGACATTTGTGTTGTGTCCATTTTGCTAGCTCCTGGGTTTCAGTTTAGCAGTAACCTATCACGTGACCGAGAAGCCTTCACCTGCGTCAAGAGTGACAAACTGTAGACGGATGTAACAGAGAATCTGGTAATTTTTCAAAATAAAAGATCTTTCAGATTCCGAAATAAATAAAACGGAAGTAATGTAAGTTCTCTTTTCTTTCTGTACGGCCTGGTACCAAATGACCCATGGACCGGTACCGGTCCGCGGCCTGGCAGTTGGGAACCACTGACTTAAATAATGTGTTGAGTATATTCTTGCTCAGTTGCCCGTGCCTTTCTTGACTATTTTATGTCTGAATTATGATGTGGCTGCCTTCAATGCACCTGGAACACTATCCGATATCATTGTCAGACTGGTTCTACTTTATGAGCAGTAACCCATTCCCCCCTGGGGGTCTATCAATTTTAATGCATTGAATAAAGTCTACCCGGGACATTATTATGATTAGTCACTTTGGCGAGGGTTTTTTTTCCCCACCCTTCTGAGGCTGGAACAGCACAAAATCTGAATATGAAACAGGAAACCTTGACATGATAATCTTGCGTCAGTGTTCGTTAATCACAGCTAATCTTCATAAATGTGATATTAATCAGAGTCATGTGTTGTTTTTTTGGGGACGTCCTCAACTTGTTTTTGAACAGCAGATGGTAAGAGGTGACATCATTAAAGGATGATTCCTGAGAGGCTGTCCTTATCGTTGCCATCCTGCAAAAAAGAAACAAAAAAAACATAACATTCATATTCATGAGTGTTGAGGGAGGTATTTGTTTCATGAATGAGCAAAATTGGCATCTTGAGATCAAAAGACATTGCCGCAAACAGGTGTGGGATTGCCTTAATTTTTTTTTTAAAGTTGACCTTTTTATGACAATGTGTTCCCATTTTTTTTGTAGGCATCAATTCTAAAATATCATCCCTGATTGGCCTTTCACCTGGTGGATGATAGCTGGACGAACAACCCCACCCGGTGGTCAGGTGAGTCACTTCTATAGCTAGAAACCTTCCTTTCCTTCATTTGCTCCTGAGGTACAGCAGCAATTAATGTGCCTTCATGAAGAAACCGGAAATTGACTGAACGAGCATTGAGCAAGCTATTATGTTTTTGATTAATGGGGAAGGGAAACAATTTAATGGGTTTTGAATGTGAAACAAGACAAATAATTTTGGTGTCATCCTGATCATAAACAAGTTAAACCGATATCGTCGTGAACTATAACTTCTTCATTGATGTTGATGCACTCGCTCAAAAGCACAATTACATCGGTGCTGTTTTACCAATAATTACTGTCGTATTCCGTGAAATCTTTCACAAAGAGCACACTATTTCCATAGATAATTTCCTTTATTCATTTTGTAAAATGCATAATACATTGTGCTTACATGCTTATGCGAATTATTAATTAAGCTGGTTCAGGCCACACAATTTTTCATGGAAGAATGGTTGGACATCTTTTGTGATATACGGTGTGTTAAGGACATGGTAATGCATCACAGCAAAAAAAAAAAAAAAAACACTGACTTCACATCTAGTGCATCATTTGAGATTGTTTCATACGCCAGTGGTAGTGTAATAATTCAAATAGCTGGCATCAAATAACTCCCACCAGCTGTTGTCGCCTTTTTCAGAAATTACAGGGGTCACAAACTATTGTTGTTGTTGTTTTTTTTTTTTTTTTTTTAATGTACGGGCAATGTTCTAAATGACAGTTAAAACGGCATATAAGTTGCACACAAGTAACGGATTTTATGAGCAAAACCAGCGCTGTCAACGTTACTTTGTTAACCTATATGATTAATTGTGAAACTGTATATAATCTATAAAGTGTGGTGTCTGGAAACTCCAAACATATTCGTTCAAGGTGCTGTTTTTAGTGGGAAAACATCTTTGCAACCTTTTGTGAACCCTGACAAAAACCCAAGATTTGCTACGTTAGCGAGCATTCAGGTATTCGCCACTCACTGAGATACCAGCTTGAAAATTGTCCATGGAAGATGGCGGAAGATGCCGTTTGCGCCATTGTGGGGTGGAGTGGAAGGCAGCCAATGGGTAGAAAATATGAAAAGGTAAAAAGCTGGAGGTCTGCTGAAAATTTACACTTACGAGATGAATTGTAGTACAGTCGAACCTCGTTTCAACATACCATGTTTACAACGTTTCCGCGGCTATAACATTCACATTTCAAAGTCCCGATTTCACGTAATTCATTTTCCATTTGCCAATTTTGATTACGACAACATAAATCTCATTACAACGACCAGATTTTTCTCACAAAATAGTGAAAAGGCCTTCGTCACAACGAACCGTGGAAAGCGAACTGCCGCCACGACATTGCTTATGAACAAAATGTACAGCACGGGATTCCCCTCCGTTGCTTCGCAACGCGCCTGATCACCGAGACTATGTGAATTGATGATAGTTTGCTAGTCGGCGGCACTGGCAATTGCCTATGGCGAGTAACATTTGCTAACTTTGTTTTCAGACATGAAGTAGGAACGCCAAAGTGTTTGTTTCATGACATTATTTGTTTTTCATATACACAAATTTGTAATTGGCATGTTTATGCTGTTTTACATGTTCATTTTTTTACATCTATAAATGCTCATACTGCATTATACTTCCTACTTGGCGGCCATTTTATTGGAAAGTGTTACAACAAACGACCGTTCGACTGTATTTGCACAAATGTTTGTGCATATTTTCATAAATTTGCCTCCTGAGACTAAATGTCCAATTTCGGCTTGAAAAGTTTGGGAAACCTTGATGCGAACCTTCAACTGCGCATGGTTTAAATTGACTCATTTATAATAGACTGCCAAGTGACTGCGCGGTGTTTAAGAACATGACTGCATAAATCACTGGCAGCCAGTGTGAAGACTAAATGTGAAATTCATGGAGCTAAATTCCTCCTCATCTCTCTTCACTACTTCCCTATTCCTAATAACCACAAGCCATCAGCGCCTCGGTACCGTCATACAACACAACCCCGCACGTCAACATGCACAACAGGCTGCCAAAAGGCAATCATACCGACCACAGAGCGGCAGAATTCAACGAGAGGGATCGCGCGGCTCTATGAAGTGCTGCTCGTGAAAGGACTGTCAATGAGAGGAGATGAGGAATGCGCAGCAATGATGAATGTTCACCGAGCAGAAACACTAAGCACCAGGGGCATGCAGAGATCAGGGCCAGGTGCTGAAATTTAAAAGGGGGAATATGGGAAAAAGAGTTCCCACTGAGTTTCATTTTAAATGACTAAGTCCTCTTAAATCTTAAACCGGCTGAATTGTAGCAGCCCGTATTCACAAAGAAGGTTACACGGGACTACAACGTAACATGTCGTGGTACCCACCTTGATGTGCAGTTGCAGCACAAGCTCACTCATTTCCATTTAAGGTGCTCACACTATTAACACTGTCGGTGTTAATATAGCTACAAAAGTGATCAAATTACGATACGAGTTTGGCTTGATTTTTCTGTATTGGCTTTTATTTACTGGGAGACAACTTACATTTAAGTCATGATAACTTGACAAAATAAAAGCGTGTGCCAGGATAATTTAGCTACGGCAGGCGCAGGGCCGACCGAGCAGTCGCAAGTCCAGTAGGACATGATTTCAGTGCACGTCTACGTGGATCATGTGACCAAGGGTATCGACTGTGGTAATTTAATTTATCTAAATTATGACTGTTGTTAAATTTTATGGATGAAAGTAGAGGTGCTCCAATCGATCGGCCTGCAGCCAACTAGAGAGAAGCCTGTGTGCAATGTGGCATCCCCTCCCACTTTCCTGAATATTGCACGTTAAAGACCAAAGCAACGGAATCGTTTTACATTTTTTGTGCATTTTCTGCTCTATTTGAAATAACGTCCTGTTTTTTAATAATACTGGGATGGAAATTTGGACAGAATGTTTTGGGTTTTTTTTATAAATCATATTCACCAAATAATTGAAAAAAAATAATTGACCAATTAATCGATTGTTAAAATAATCATTTAATGAGAAGCTTGTAGCTAATCTCGCCAATCTCACTCACGGATGATCAGTATCAGAATCGGCCGTTTAAAACTCTAATTGCAACACCAGTAATTGAAAGGGACAGACAGTCTTTCACACACAACAAAGATGAAAAGAAAATTGGAAACTTTCGATTCAAAGTCATAATTTATTATATGCTTTTGTTTCAATTTATGTAGTCGTGAATAGCACAAAACACCATCAGTGCTGGAAAAAAAATAATATCCCCTATAATGCCCCTGGAGGTTTTGTAAATGTGTTTCCTGTGAATTACCTTATAGTTTATATTTTTTATTTAAATGTCATAAACGCTACTTTGCACCTTTTAAAAGTTCCTGTTTTTTGCACCCTGCGGCACTGTTGCTTTTTGATCGCACCCTTTGTCTGTGATCGCGTCTGTCACAGCAGGAATTTTGAACTTGAAACAGAAGCCCCTTAAAAAGAAACGTCATCCTAACACAAGCTCGCTATACTTTGCCGTAATTGTGCGGAGCATCTGTATAAAGTCAACGCGATTCAATTTGCAACAACGTGACGATGAGCTATTGGGATGAAATGAAACCAGATGACTCACCCAGCAGCTTTTGTGTACCAGCTCGCAGCACCTTAATAAACCCAATTTGCCCGCTAATTAATCCGTTTACACACTCCCACTTATGGACCGCTGCCATGTTGATGACATGTTCCTGGCCTGGCTAACATAGCAGGTTCGCAGTCACAAATGACACATTGACATTTAACATCTCTATTACATGCCTAGCAGGACATTAGCGGCTCTGCCTCTATGTTCGTCTCGTATCTCCATCAATGAAAAATTGAATTCAAGAAACTTGTCTTTCTCGAAAACATAAATAACCAACGATGGGGATACTGACATTCTAATTTACCGAGCTTGTTTGCTAACATAGCTATATTTTCCATCAGTGTGTTCATTTTTAACCATGCGATGGGAGAATCTCTCTTGGAATCTGCTGCCTGGAGGATTTGCGCCCATGCACAGCTCTAAGTGGGTGTGGCTCAACTTCATCACGTTGCCCTTCCTTAGACAGCAAATTAGTTGAGCCGAGCGCCTCTGCTGGTTGCAGCCAAGTAGCGCCCGCAATTGCTTCAAGAGGCCATCGATGATTCAGTTCCACACAAATGTTCCATAGTATTGAAGAGTATCTTCACTTCAAATAGTGGTCACTCGTCAAATGGCGCACGCGTAAGCGTCATGTGCCCCACTGGCCTCCGTGGGCAGTGTCAAGCCTACTGGGGAGCGTCTCCGCTGTCATCACACAAGCTCAAATTCCTGAATGTCTTTCCAGTATGTGTTTGCTGCAGGGGGACTACGGGGGTTGTTAGTCTACTGAGGCCATGTGGTCACAAAACAAACACAAACTCTCCCTCTTATTGCTCATAATGAGGTCATGAAGATGGTGGTCTCCTTCAGACCGAGCAAAGGGGGCTGTAGGGAACGTGCCCGAGGTTGTGGGCTGACTCGCCATGACAGAAGGTCAATAACCTGCAGCCGCTTGTCTCGACCGCACATGAGAATGATAACGATGCGCCTTCATTATCATACTGTTGCCGTGTAGGGAATCTTCAATGCAAACCGAATATGATATGACTATAATCAGTTTTACAAGTTCATACAAGATGAATAATTGATTCATTTTATTGCTTTTGTTGTGCTTGCTTGTATTTATTTTTACGGTCATTTTAGATGGCAGGAAACACGAAAGATATAATACATTTCCGCAATCGTGTAAACAACTGTACATGAACCAGAAACTGAAATGCCTGAGGCTCAGAGCTAAACATCTTTGTATTCAAATGTACAAGCAAATTGAGATAGAAGTCAGGGACTGAAAATCACCATTACCGTAACTCGTAAGCATTCATTAAAATTTGTCAAAGAGAAAAGAAAAACACATACACATTTGACTACGTGTAGTTTCAAGTGGAAGTACTAAAGTG